GCCTGTTTACCAAGGAGCTGGAACATGCCCTGGAGAAGAATGAGTAAGTGAAAGACAGTTCTTACTCATCTCTTGCTAGGACCCCTGTGCACATCAGACCTGGATATCAGCTAGACTGTGGGGCTTCAACCTTTGGGTAGGCTAGAGGGAGGCTCATATGTGGGTTTCTCAGGCCTCAGAAAAGGAGAGTGTCCTGGTTCTGAGCGATCTGGCTGCCTGGAAGGCGGGATTGGCTGGGGGAAGGGAGGGTGCAGGGCTCAGGGTCCTGAGGTCCTGGACGGGCCCGCTTCCTAGCAGACCACTGAAGTAGAGGCAGGCATAGGCGGAGGAGGGGTGGGGGCCTGCTGCTGGGATTCCTTCCCCTTGCCTCCCTCTTCTGTCTCTCTAGAGTGGACCTGGTTGTTCACTCCCTGAAGGACCTGCCCACTGTGCTTCCTCCTGGCTTCACCATTGGAGCCATCTGCAAGTAAGAACCGTGCAAGTTGGGCATGGGCAGGCGGAGGCATCCTGTTAACCTCTGCTTTTCCCTTTGGGACTCTGCCCTCTGCCTCTAGGGAACTGAGAACATGCTAGTTCGTTGGTTATGGAGAGAGCCTGGAAGTGACCTGCACTGAGATCTCTTCCTCATTCTTTAACTTTCCCTCTGTTTCCAGGCGGGAGAACCCCTATGATGCTGTTGTCTTTCACCCAAAATTTGTTGGGAAAACCCTAGAAACCTTGCCAGAGAAGAGGTGAGTGGGGCCTGGATAGGCATCCTGGTGGGACATGCACAGCAGGTGGAGGGCTGAGAGGGAGAGGAGGAAATCTCGGGTTAAATCTCATTTTTTTTTTTAAAGATTTTTTTATTTATTTATTTGAGAGAGAGAGAGAATGAGAGGCAGAGAGCACGAGAGGGAAGAGGGTCAGAGGGAGAAGCAGACTCCCTGCTGAGCAGGGAGCCCGATGTGGGACTCGATAGTGGGACTCCAGGATCATGACCTGAGCCGAAGGCAGTTGCTTAACCAACTGAGCCACCCAGGCGCCCCTAAATCTCATTTTAAACCCTCTCTCTGAGCAGTGTGGTGGGAACCAGCTCCCTGCGGAGAGCAGCCCAGCTGCAGAGAAAGTTCCCACACCTGGAGTTCAAGAGCATTGTATCCTTTCCGAGGAGGGAGGGGGCAGTGGCCAAGGAGGAAGGCGGGGTCCAGAGGGTCCAGGGAGTCACGAGAGCAAAACGAGCTTCCAGAGGAAGTGGACACAGGCCAATGGAATGTCTGTCCTCCAGTGTCTGCCCTATTCATCCATCCACCCATCCATCCAACCATTCATAATCCTTTCATATTTTCTTAGCCGCAGGCCAGTGCCTGGCACTAGGGATAATGGTGAGCAAGACCAACGTTGTCCTTGCTTATAGAGTTTTACATTTTTGTTCTGGAAACAAATGAGCATTGATAATACAGAGTGATACTAAACAGTGATTACTTGGGAAGGGGGGGGAGGTGGAGGGTGCTTCCATTTTTATTTCATATTCTGTTTTGATATTCTAAACATATCAAATGTTTTGTAAAGCTAATTTTCAAAATAGTATGTGTTAGCACTCCCGTGCACAAAGTAGGGAATTCTCTGGAAGCTTCTAGCTAGAACATCTAGAAGCACAGACTTGGGGGGTCAGGGAATGCTTCTCAGAGGTGTGGTAACCTTGGGCAAGTTAGTTAACTTCTCTGTATCATCTTCCTCATCTGTAAAATGGAAATAATTAGAAGACCTACCTCACTGGGTTGTGAAAATTAAATAGGAGTATGTAAAGCACTTTATTTTTCTTTTATTTTATATTTTTAAGGATTTTATTTATTTGCCAGAGAGAGAGAAAGAAAGAGAGAGCACAGCAGGGGGAGCGGCAGGCAGAGAGAGAAGCAGGCTTCCCACCGAGCAGGGGTCCCGACGCGGGGCTCCATCCCAGGGCCCTGGGATCATGACCTGAGCCGAAGGCAGACGCTTAGTCGCCTGAGCCACCTGGGCGTCCCTGTAAAGCACTTTCAATCAGTGTCTGGTGTATAACCATCAAGTGTGAGTAATTAAGTTAATGTTAGCTGTAATCGGTAAGCAGAAGACCAGAGGGGAGCTGTTAGATACGGAAAGACTCAGGCAGGGGGAGCAGTGTGAGGTTCCAGACTGCCCAGTGCTTGTGGTCCTTAGCAACCCTGCACAGCGGGGAAACCTCAACACGCGGCTGCGGAAGCTGGATGAACTGCAGGAGTTCAGCGCCATCATCCTGGCCGCCGCTGGCCTGCAGCGCATGGGTTGGCAGCACCGGGTGGGGCAGGTAGGGGCTGTCCCTGTTCGTCCCCAGTTAACCTTCCTCCTTCTCCTGCCTGTATTCTCTTTCCGAACATCCTGCCTCTAACGGTATAAGCTGGACATGGGTCCCAGGCTGGGAAGATAGGGGATCAAAGGCCAGACTCCCACTTTTGCCTACCTAGGCTTTCTGTGTGATGGGGAAGCCCCCTCTCACTACTGTCTGCTTTTGGGCACCCTCATCTTCACCCTTCTGACTGTTCTGCCCCTGCAGATCCTACACCCAGAGGAATGCATGTATGCTGTGGGTCAGGTATGTTTGACCAGGGAAGCCATGTGTTGATGTGCCCTTTCTTTTGTTCTCAACCAAAAAGCCGGTCTCATAACCTTCTGCATCTACTTCTTCCGGCATAAACATTTCTAAGGAAGGGCAGGCCTTGGGAGGCTTCTGGGCTAAAAGGGATCCTTCCTGGGGAGCAGGAGGAGGTGGGCTGGTTCCCGTCCTCACCTCCAGTGGTTGCGGAAAGATTAGGCCTGATGTCTTAGGCTGTTTTTCCATCAGGGGGCCCTGGGCGTGGAAGTCCGAGCCAACGACCAGGACATGCTGGATCTGGTGGGTGTGTTGCATGATCCGGAGACTCTGCTTCGCTGCATTGCCGAGCGAGCCTTCCTGAGGCACCTGGTAGGGTCCATGTTCCACCTGTGGAGGGGTGGGGACTTGAGGAGTTGGGAATAGTTGACGGGAGATTTCTCATATTAAGGCTCTTATTGAGAGGTAACTCATTCTTGAATGTTTGGACAGGACCCAGGTCTGGGCCCCTGCCTCTGTTTCCGTTGTCTTCAGAGGTGTCTGTATCTCTGAGGGCTCTGGCCACACGGTGGTGTTGAGTCCCTAGTTCACAGGGAGAACTTCTCATTGCAGGAAGGAGGCTGCAGTGTTCCCGTGGCAGTGCATACAGCCATGAAGGATGGGCAAGTAAGCAGGGGAGGTTGGGTGGGAAGGCAGGTAAGGGAGCACCGTGACATGTTCCTGTGCATCTTGAGTTGCCCACAAAAAGAGCCCGGGTTTCCAAGCAGTGCTCTCAGAATATGCTGAGGTAACCCGTTTTCTTTGCCAGCTGTACCTGACTGGAGGAGTCTGGAGTCTAGACGGCTCAGATAGCATGCAAGAGACCATGCAGGCCACCATCCGTGTCACTGCCCAGGTGCCAAAGCTGGAGAGTGAGGGAGAGGGTGAGAAACAAACCTGCCTGTTACCTCCTCTTTCGTGCTCACCAGATCCCACCTCCTTCCCTCACCTAGCATGAAGATGGCCCTGAGGATGATCCACAGCTGGTGGGGATCACTGCCCGGAACATTCCACGAGAAGCCCAGCTGGCTGCTGAGAACCTGGGCATCAGCTTGGCCAGTTTGTTGCTGAACAAAGGAGCCAAGAACATACTGGATGTTGCACGGCAGCTTAACGATGCCCACTAACTGGTCTGTGGGGCGCAGGTGCCTGGGTCCCATTGTCCAGTGCCTACCTCCCAGCCCTCAGTGCCCTATCCTCACTGCTACCTGGTGAGTGATTACCCCAGGGATTGAACTGCAAGGTCAGAGACTTACTTACCTCACTTTGGGGCTGTGGGGAGTGCCTTGCCTCTGCAGTAGGTGGGGGTTTCATCTCTTTAGAGAAAAAGTTCAAGCCACGGCCTTTGAATGTAACCAACTCAACTAATAAACCAGCTCTGAAGGTGACTTTGTTTTTGGTGAGGTTGCAGGAAAGATAAGGACAGACACAAAGCCTGTACTCTTTACTTCAGAGGCTGGGACCTCTGTGCAAAGTTCTCCTGGAATGTTCTTTGTTCCTGCCACAGCAGTTCTCATTTCAAACAACAAACGGTCTCCCAGCGAAGAGCGGTGATCGGAGAAACCTAGGACTTAACCCCTCTCCAGCTAACCCGTATGGGTATTCGATAGGTGGGCCATGTATCAGAGTTCCCCCGCCCCCCCCCGCCGACCCCCCCCACCTCAGGATAGGAGTCTACAAAGTCAGTGCTACAACTGTTAGAGAATGACAACAGACACTGCGTTTTTTTAAAAAAAACAATCCTTTAATAAACAAAATTAGTCCATCTGAAACTCCCCAATACGTAAGGTACTAGTCTTGGATGGGTTGTAGCTGCAAAATTCCAGTTCCGAAGCAATCGGAGGCTCAGTGCAGACAGGGACGAACGGGCCGGTGCTGGTACGGAGGGAGGTGCGTGGCCCGCGGAGTAGTCGCCGGAAGGGAAGTGGGGCGAGCGGCGGGGCCCGAGGGCCCGGCTGCGGTCACCGCGGGAGCGCGCACACCTCCTGCGGTCCCCACCGCCCGCAAGGCCGGGCCCCGGCCCCTCCCCCGCCGCGGCCCGGGCGGCGGTCCCCGCAGAAGCGTCCGGCCCGCAGGTGCAGACGGCGGGACCCGCGGGAAGTGGGGGGGGGGGCGGCGCCGGGGCGAACGGTGATCCGTTCTTCCCGCACCGCGTCTGGAGAGTCTCGGCCCGAGCACCAAGCCGGAACCCCGGCCCCGGCGCGCACCTCAGCCCTGCGTCAGAGCGGCGAGCGGCTCTTCCAGGAGGCGCCGCGGCCTCCCCGCCGCCCATCCGCGGTTCCGGGGCCCGGGCGGCTGAGTCACGGGCGCCGCGGCGCCCGGGCCTCTGCGCCAGGCGAGCGGGGCCGCCCCCCGGCCGGGCGGCAGCGGGAGCGAGGGCCGGCGAGCCCGCGCGGGGGAGGGGCGGCGGCGGCGGCGGCGACGACGCGGGAGGGGGGGAGCCGAGCGCCGCGGCCGCCCGCCCCGAGCCCGACGTGGCTCAGCTCTTTCCGTGAGGGCGGTGGTGGCCCTTAAAAGGGCCTTTGTGATGGCATGGGGGGGCCGGCTGCGGCGCGGGCGCCCCTCAGTACTCCTGAGAGGCCTGGGTGGCCTTCTTGCCGCCCGCGGGCGCCTTCGGCCCTACGGTGGCGCTGGTCTTCTTGGGCAGTAACACGGCCTGGATGTTGGGCAGGACGCCTCCCTGGGCGATCGTCACGCCGCCCAGCAGCTTGTTGAGCTCTTCGTCGTTGCGGATGGCCAGCTGCAGGTGGCGGGGGATGATCCGCGTCTTCTTGTTGTCGCGGGCCGCGTTGCCCGCCAGCTCCAGGATCTCCGCGGTGAGGTACTCGAGCACCGCCGCCAGGTACACCGGCGCGCCGGCGCCCACCCGCTCGGCGTAGTGGCCCTTCCGCAGCAGCCGGTGCACGCGGCCCACTGGGAACTGGAGGCCGGCGCGCGATGAGCGCGATTTGGCCTTGGCGCGGGCCTTGCCGCCGGTCTTGCCGCGGCCCGACATACTGCGCGAGGTAGAAGAGCAGTGAAGAGGGACGCCTCGAAGGGGGGTAAAGGAGAGCTGCCCGCCGCAGTCCAACTGCTGCCGCGCGCGCCCAGGGGCCGCCCTTATAAGCCCCCAGGGCACACCTCCGCGCCCTCCTGATTGGCTCTTTTCTCGAATACCCGCCTCCGGTTGGTTGCAGTTAACCCTTCCGTGACGCGCCACGGCCGAGGGAGCGCGCCCGCCGATTGGTCCAATTTGAAAACCTTTTGCCCGGGGAAAAAGGCGAGGAGGAGCGGTAGCACGCAGCCAGCCACCCACTCCCCGAGGTAGCCAATCCATGTGAAGGGCGCCAGATTTAAACGCTACAGGGGGAGACCAGAACCGGAAGACAAAGGGGGTGGAGTCTGAGCCACGTCTAGAGCCTCTGGGAAATCTGCGAGGGCTTAGGATTTTTAAAGGAAAGGGGTCAGCGCCACTGCCTCCCTTTCCAGGTCTGGTCACTCCCTTCGCCTTTCTCCCTCCTCCCATCCTGCAAAGGGAAAGTGAAAAGGGGAAGAAATGGGATTCCCCCCCCAAATTCTGTCCCACACGACAAAGGTTCTCCAATCTTATGACCCTCCCTGCCACCGAAGTATGAGGATTTCAGTATTTATTCAACATGTTCTGTCTGGTCGCAGTTCTTTCTGTTCACTTCTTGCTACAAGGAGCCTGCTGTACTGAAAGAAAAAGGAGGGGGCAGAGGCATAGGCATCCTCTTGGAGGAGGTGCCTCCACCAACCCTCCCAATCTACCCTAAGATGCCCATATAGGAGATATACCTACAGGAACAACAATAAGAAAAAGACAACACTTTATTGTCACCACCGGGAGCACCTGGCCCCCCGGTCTGCTCTTACTAATCAGAATACTTAATTTATAGTCAAATATCAAGTGATTTTCGAGCCTGTGTCCCTATCCCCAGCAAGGGCTCTATCCCCAGGCCCAACATATTCCTCGAGAGTCCGAGTCATGGATAACTGCATAAAAGCGGCAGTATCCCACCTCAGGAGGCTGCAAAGACGAGACGGGACGGAGAGGGAGAGTGGCAAGTTGAAGGAAGCCACAGGCAAAGTCCAATCAACAGTCAGTAGAGGGCAAGACAGGACCAGGGTGTCAATAATCACAGCGGAATGGAATCACTAAGTACAAAATCTGGGGGAGAATAAGAGGTGGGAGAGGCCTGGGCCAGGAGGCATTCCCGGTCAGGAAAGAGGTCGGCCTGAGTCAGGAACCCTGCAGACTGTGCAGTAAAGGGCAAGGACCAGGGGACTCAGACATCGTAGAAGAGCCGGACAAGCTGGTACCGAATGGAGAAGGTGACAGCACTGCCAAGGATCTGTGAGGAGAAACACACTAGAGTCAGAATCATGGAGAAAGGCAGACAGGGAGCTGTATGTAGAGCCCTTCCCCGACCACACCTGGAGCAGCAGCAGGAGCAGAGTCAGGTTTCTCTCATGCATGGGCCCGACGACCTTAAGGAGCAAGTTGATGAGGGTCATGTTGTTACACTCCGTGAAGGTACCATCCTCATGCTCACTCTGGCGCACCGTCACTAGCTGGAGACTCTCTGCTACCTGGAGGGGACAGAGGTGGAGAGAACTTCAAATCTGCTTCAGCAATGGGGATCTGCTTCATGCTTCCAAACTCCCCTTGGATCTGATGCAGGCCCAGGATCCCCGGTCCCTGAATTCCCAGTGATGGCCTAGAGCCTTACCTCCTTGTTACCCTGTTACCTTTAGAATAAAGGTGCCCAAGAAAGAGAGGTTCTTGGTCTTGAACTTGGAATAGCTCATCTCCAGTTTGCCTGTCTTGGTATTGAGTCTGCAGGGGGAAGAGAGCTTTATGTGACGGGGCCACTACTCCAAGAACTCTCTTCACTGCGGTCAATTAATAGAAAGAGCACTGAACATGGCATCAAACAACCTAAGATCTATTTCTGGCTTTGCTTACTACTGTGTGATCAGAGCTGATTAGATTATGTAGGTGAATGTGCTCTGTAATTTGTAAGGGCTAACCACGTGGAAAGAGCCCTTCTTTGGGCCCACACCCTTTGCACAGCAGATGTATAAGGCTGGCTTTACGCATCCCAAGTGAAAAAGCTGCGATGTCCCTTTCAAGCCCCAAAAGTGGCTACCTGGGAATACGGTGGCGAGGGCAGGGTATGATATGCAGGAGCTGAGGCAGTGAGTAGAGGAAGTTGAACACCTGGGGCATGAAGAAGAGTAGCATGGTCTTGCTGAAGTGTCCCAAGATGCCCACCACGGCAAAGGTCATGCCAGCAAAGTAACAGAAGGTATCTCCCACAAACACCCGTGACGGGTACCTGTGTGGGGGAGAGGATCTGAGCCAGTGGCAGGAGGCACTATCCATCTTTTCTCTTACATTACACTTCCTGGGCCCTCGGCTAGCCCTGACTCTAGTTCTGGCCCAGAGGAGACTCTGGCTCTTCCAGCAACTGTCTAGGACCCAAGGCCCTGCATTCGTCTCTCCCTGGGGGCTCCACAGCACTCGTCCCTAACTGCGACTGGGCAGAAAGCAATTGAAGAATATTACCAACTGGAGACCCAGAAAGCACTCAACATAGGTGTGCACAGGTTTAAGCCTCTCCAGGAGTTGGGTCATGACCAGGACCATACTCATTCTATGATCACATAGTTATCCCCCTAGCCACAGGCCCACTTACCAGTTATGGTAGAGCAATCCCAAGGTGGTGAAAAAAAAGGGTATCATGAAGTAGAGGGAAAAGACATGATCATCCCGATAATCACCTTTGGAAGCAAGGGAAAAAGAAAAAAGGAAAAGTTGATAGGTGCTTCCCTTGCATACCTGGGTCCTATTTTTGTCTCTAAGTTCTGTCCCAAGCTGTACTCCCCACCTCTTCCAAGTCACATTCAAGAACTCACCACCCTTTTTGTGTCACCCAGGCAATTCCTAATATTCCACCTCATTCACGAACCCTTCCTAAATGAGTTACTGTCTTCAATTTGGTTTAGATCAGTCAGACCTAGGTTTAAATACCAGATTTACTTCCTGTGTGACCTCAATCATGACACATTTAAATTCTCTAGCCCTCAGTTTCCTCAACTATAAAATACAGTTCACGAGAACCCCTGCCACATGTTACAAAGTTTAAATGAGATAATGCTCACTAAAGTGGTTAGTTTTAATAAACACTGATATCAATGCTTATCAGCCAAAGACCACCAGAAACACACAAGCAGTCAAAGCTGGGTTTACTGACTTGTAACAAGGGAGACACTGGAGACCACACATCATAGGCAACCATGAGATGCCTTAGTAAGGGAATATTAGGAGGATGTGTTATAGGATTCGTTTTAAGTAGTTCTGGGGAGAAAGCAAGGAGGTGGAGTTTTGCCCTAGACTGGGTGCAGTCAGTCGAAGTAATTCTGTGACTGAGCATCTTAGTTTCATCTAAAAAGCAGGAGGAACTGAGTTATCAGAAGGAAGCAGCAATTGCTCACGTCAGCCAGAAGAGGGAGACCTTAGTCATTTTTGAGGGATGCACAAAATGCGGTTCTACCTGGATTGGTTTTACTCTATAGTGGTCATAGAGTGACCCTGTCTGACTTGGAAGTTCTGTGAAATTGTTTCTGTTCCATAGAAGACCATGGCCTACCTATTAGTGCCAATCCAGCTAAAAATGACAGGGCTTGCTATTTTTCTTTCTTACATTTAATAAATCTTAATATATCGCTTTTTCCCCCCCCCAAATCCCCCAAAGCCAGGTATCAGGCAACTTCCTTAACACTCAGACTTCTCTTCTCTCCCTCCTCTTAATCCCACCTACCTTCCAGCTCCACCAGATTAAAGACGATGATGGAAGCAGCAATGACCAGTGACTGGCCAGCCTCTAGGCCATTAATTCCTGCTAGGATATTGATGGCATTGGTACAGAACACTGCCAGCAGCCCCATGTAGACGTAGTACAGGATCCCTGGGGGAAGAAGACAGTAAAAAGTGTGTACCGGTGAAATGAGGACTCAAGGATATTCTGTTGAGAAAAGTGGTGGGGACAGAGGATCAGACGAAGGACCAACAGAAAGGATCTGAGAAGACACAGGGACAAGTCAGGGACACTTGGAGGAGAATCTGGAGCACCAGGAATGATGCTCTGCTAGATATCTCCCAGGGTAAGGGTGCCCTGAAGTAGGGGCCACAGGGGCCGTGGTGGCAGGGCTACTCACCCAAGTCCAGATGCAGGCCAAGAATCGGCCGGAAAGGCTTGGGCACCACAATGGTCGTGTTGCCAAAGTTGGTGAAATAGACCATGAGAAGAGGTAGTGAGGCAGCTGTAGGCAGCAGCAGCTTATGGCGCCAGCGCAGATTCAGTACATCGTCCGCAAAGCCCAGGAAAATCATGCAGCAGATGGCAAGGAGCGCACCTATCAGGGCCACAAACTGGGGGAGGCTCGGGCAGGTCACAGCTCAAGCCTACGCCCACCTCACCTTTCAAAAATACCTGTCTTTTCGCTGGATTCTCAGCCCCTCCACCCAAACCCAAATAACCCCAACTCTCTCAGGTAGCTCCCAGACCCCGGCCACAAGCAACCTCCCCCACTCACCCACTTACTTCATGGTGCGGGAAGGCTTTACACCGTTCCTCCATAAAGCAGTTCAGGAAAGGGAAAGGGATGAAGCAGAAGAGGATGATAAGGAAAACAGCACCGCTGATCACTCCCTGGGACTCTGGGCTGTGGCCCAGCAGCAAAGGGAGGGGGCGGAGGGAGAGGAAAGGGGGCGTGGTCACTCACTAGAGCAGGCACTACAGCCATCTAATGGGGAAAGGGGGTGGGGTGGGGAAGGGCACCAGTGCTGGAGTCCCCGATGCACCTGAGGGTCCCCTCAACCACAACATCCCTTCCCAATGTTAGCCAGTGCTGCCCTTCATCTCCCAGAGCCCGGAGCTGTCTGCGGAGTTAGGGCTCCTTCTCCGCCGGGTCAGGCACCCCAGTTCCCGCCCTTGTCCTGCCGGCCCCTTCCTCTGCCCTTGCCTCCCACCCGGGACCCGGGTGCCACCGCTCACATTTGCTGCCGGCCGGTTTTGTTGAGGTCC